CCCCTCTCTCATCAATCCATTTCTATGGTCTTTAAGATAACTTGTTATGGAAAATTAGTTATTTATCTAAGATGCACCTACAGTGAATTTATCTGAAAAATAAAAAAGTCGATATTAAGAAAAAAATTGTAAATGGAAGATTATAAGAGACGGTTTCGTGTGCCAGCAAAAGTTACTGGCATGCCATGTTTGGCACGCGTGCCAGGGGTTGCCCACCCCTACCTTAGAATGAATTTGGATAGAACAGTGGGATGAAATTTGGGTAACAGAACTAAAGGTAAAGGGAAATCTGATGTTTCTTGATTAAATCTTGATCTGCTTGGGGATATAATTATTTTGGTTATTGAGTTTATTGGGACAAAATAACACACACACACACACACACACAAGCCCACCCTAATGATAACCTCTCTGGAGAGAGAAAATTTCAATCCATAGAGACCACATTTGACCTCACTCTCTTCACAAATAAACAAGATGCTACAATGGTTTCTTAGTGAGCGAGTATATAGTACCACAGACAGTGTAATAATATGTGAGATGTAATGAAGGAAAATTTGGAAGAGTGAGTGACCACCCCTACATTCTTTGTTCAGCCAGGCTACTCAGTGACCTTGAATAATAGCTCTTTTAGAAGAACAAATGCAAATAATGACTTGGAGGGGCCAGAAAAAGGATGTGAGGTATTGAGGTAGATAGGCCCCATGCCATCCCCTCTCCCAGGTGGGCTATTGTTGACATTATCACCAGAAAAAATTACCTTTCTTTGCTTATGTAATTCAGATTTATCATTGACCAAAAACATGTAAATCACACTTGTGATGCCAGGTTGTAGTATTTCCTCCATTAGGGAGTATCCTCTTTTATCTTGGTCCCATCATAGCCAGGCAAGGCAGCAGTTTTATTAAAATAAAGCTGTTGAATATGGATGGTTACTTTAACTCTAGCTAAGAAGGCAAATTTGTTGAGTTCTGTTGCTGTAAAAGTAAGTAGATACAATGTGACAGCCAGAGCTGAACTGGAACCTGAAACTGAGCAAGTGAATGCTTTCTATGAGAGCATGGAGAACAGATCTTAAGTCAGAGCTGGAGAAAAGGCCTCTCAAAGTCCATTAGACTCTGAGTTGGAGTAATCAGATAATTTATATTTTAATCTGTTAACTTTTTTTTTTAAAAGCAAACAGTCAAACTCTACTACCAGAGAATGGGCTTTGGGTTTTAGAGTCTCCTAATGATTAGGGTTCTCATGCTTCTGACTCAGGGAGGGGCCAGTAGATGAGCCTTATAAAGGCAGTTGTCAAATGACTCATAAAATCAGTGACATATTCAAATGCCTGAGAGTTCCCCTGTCGCAGCTGCTCTCTACCCAAACCTCAAGGAAGGGAATGGTCAGGGCAGGGAAGTGGGAAAGGAGTTTAGACCTCTAGGATTCTGGGCCACTCACTACCCAATTCCTTTTGCCTGTTCTATCTTGCAAATTTATTTTGAGACCATTTATTTCAACTTTCTAAATTTTTAGAAGGCAGCTGGGATATCGAGGTTTAAGGGGTTGGTTCATTTAGTAATTTAAACCAGGTTTTGCCCTTTTATTGAAGTCCTCTCCTTGACTTTCCCCAGATGCTCTCAGGCACTGACATATTTATGAAGGATTGATATCACTGCTAAGTGCCACTTACTTGTATGTCCTGCCTCATAATTATTTTTTCCATCTAAAGGTAACAAGGAAATCAAAAGGACTTAGGCTTATATATGAGGCTCAGCTCTGTTCCATGTTAGCTGTGTGACACAGGTCATTTATCCTCTCTGGTCTCAATTTCATCAGCTGTTAAATCAGCGGTTCTCAACCTGTGGGTCACGACCCCTTTGGCGGTCGAACGACCCTTTCACTGCATCTAGAAACCAGAGAGGAGGGAGGGAGGGAACTCTTCGGCAGCAGAACGAAGAGCAAACTACCAAACACGAGACACTAGAGTCTCTGAGTATGAAGTTAAATTTTTATAATGTTGGGGATTTTCAAGGCCATTTTATCACAGACACTTTACCTTGTTTCTCAATTTCCCATCAACAAGCTGCTTTTGAACTCTCAGCCTGCTGGTGATGCCAAGAAGGCCATCTGAGTCAGATACTGTGCCCCCAGATTGAGGATTAAACAAGCATGAACTTGATAGGGCCAGATACTTGTGTGGTGCAGCATTCATCAATCCTAGTCTTTTCTGTCAAACTCGAACCTCAGCAAGAATTCTCTCTAGTAAGCCACTTTCCTCTCCCAGCTTTGGTTTCTCACATTTAAAACTAGGGCCTTGGACTAGATTATATTTAAAGTCCCTGTAAGATTCAAGTCTTCGAGGTTTAGCTGGTTAGCTCCAATTGCTCTGTCCTTAAGGTCTCCTTTTTTTCTAAGGCCAGAATTGGTAGATGTGTTCTCTAAAGCACAAAAGATTCTTTGCATCCATGCCTTAACCTATAAACTTAGGTGTGTGTGTGGTTTTTAATATTAATGTTTTATTGAAAAGTACAGAAAACCTACCTGTGTTACGTTCATCTGAACATAACAAGCAAACCTCCTCACACCTCCTAAAAGCTTCATTTCTTTGCAGTAATACTTTGCCTATTCCAGCAAGTATCTCAGTTAACTTGTTTCCTTTTCGTCCAGGCTCAAAATAAAAATTAAACTCCTCTTGGATCAGGGGTGGAACTTGAGAGAGCCAGGAGAGTGAAGAGCAGTGTGTGTGTGTGTGTGTGTGTGTGTGTGTGGTTATTTAAATACATTTAACTTCAGAGAGGAAAGGATAGTGAGAGAGAGAGAAACATCAGTGATGAGCGAGAATCATTGATTGGCTGCCTCCTGCATGCCCCACACTGGGGATCGAGCCCACAACTTGGCATGTGCCCTGGCGGGGAATCGAACCCTGACCTCCTGGTTTATAGGTTGACACTCAACCACTGGGCCACACTGACTGGTCAGGGCACCATATTTTTCAAAGGGCCCCGAATGGCTTTGTGAGCTTGGTGATGGGTTTTGAGCTCAGCCAGGGGAATGAAACACTTCATCATCCAAGCAAACTGTTCATCCACCATGGACCATTTGTGGTGGTTGTTTTTGCTGGATGGATCACAATAGGGATTGCTTTTCTCAAACTGTGTGTGGTCTGGGTAAGCCTCCTTCACAAGCTTCATAAGTCCTACAATGCCTGGCTCTTTGCAGTTGCTATGGTAGAAGGTTTCCTCCTCCCGCTTCATGGCTCTAAGGAGGTTCCAGGCCTGGGAGTTGCGAACCCATCCCAGCATGCTGTCTGCTTGGGCTCTGCTTTGAGATCCTCAGTGTTGAACTTCTTTCTCTAGTCAGCTCTCTGGCTCTGACTTTATCAAGTAGCTGCTTAGATTCTCCCACATGTTTTAGAGCCTAAAGTCTTCTAAGGGCTGGGGTTCTCCACTTGAGTTATGCCTAATCTGAGTTCTTAGTCTTGGTGTGCTTTCCTGCTGCTCCCTTTTTGTCTGGCCCAGCAGCCCTAGCCTGTCTCCTCCTGGGTCTCAGCGTGGTCTGAAGAGTGGAAGATTCTGGCATCTACTGAGAGATACAGATGGCAACTTATTTTCTGCCCTTAGAAACCACTACTCAGACACAACCCCAGCCCCTAAAGTAGTTTTTTTTTTTAATTAAATCTTTATTGTTCAGATTATTACAGTTGTTCCTCTTCCCCCCCCTCATAACTCCCCTCCACCCAGTTCCCATCCCACCCTCCTCCCTCACTCCCCACCCACTGTCCTCATCCATAGGTGCACGATTGTTGTCCAGTCTCTTCCCGCATCCCCCTCACCCCTGTCCCCCAAAGAATAGTCAGTCCACTCCCTTTCTATGCCCCTGATTCTATTATAATCACCAGTTTATTCTGTTCATCCGATTATTTATTCACTTGATTTTTAGATTCACTTGTTGATAGATATGTATTTGTTGTCACTTTGTTGTTCATATTTTTTATCTTTTCCTTTTTCTTCTTCTTCCCCTTCTTAAACAATACCCTTCAACATTTCATATAATACTGTTTTGGTGGTGATG